ATAAGGCAAGTGGTGCGTTGAGGTATATGTAGAGACAAAAAACGTTATCTATCTAGGCAAAGAAGGGAATGTATGAATGTATAGTAGTACCAACACTTTTATATGGGTGTGAAGCTTGGGTTGTAAATGCTGCAGCTAGGAGGCGGTTGGAGGCAGTGGAGATGTCCTGTCTAAGGGCAATGTGTGGTATAAATATTATGCAGAAAGTTCGGAGTGTGGGAATTAGGAGAAGGTATGGAGTTAATAAAAGTATTAGTCAGAGGGCTGAAGAAGGGTTGTTGAGGTGGTTTGGTCATTTAGAGAGAATGAATCAAAGTAGAATGACTTGGAGAGCGTATAAATTTGTAGGGGAAGGAAGGCGGGGTAGGGGTTGTCCTCGAAAAGGTTGGAAGGAGAGGGTAAAGGAGGTTTTGTGGGCGAGGGGCTTGGACTTCCAGCAAGCGTGTGTGAGTGTGTTAGATAGGAGTGAATGGAGACAAATGGTACTTGGGACCTGACGAGCTGTTGGAGTGTGCGCAGGGTAATATTTAGTTAAGGGATTCAGGGAAAATGGTTATTTTTATATAGCCGGACTCAGCTACTGGAGGGGTTTGGGATATTGGCAGTTTGGAGGGATATGTTATATATCTTTATATATGCTTCTTAACTGTTGTATCTGGGTGCCTATGCAAAGACAGTGATTATGAGTGAGGTGAAAGTGTTGAATGATGAAAGTATTTTTCTTTTTGGGGATTTTTTCTTTCTTTTTGGGTCACCCTGCCTCAGTGGAAGACGGCCGACTTAAAAAAAAAAAAAAAAAAAAATTACAAGAGTGAGGGTCAAAGTTAGCAGGGGTGTCGGTATTTAAAATCTGAAAATGGAGAAAAGCCCCAAAATACATTATAGTCAAAATGAATCCTTCTCCAGGGGGAAAAAGATGAACTGAAATCACCTAAAAAAAAAAGGGGGAACAAGAAAAACCAAAACATTGACACATGAACAGATAACAGTTATGAAGGGGGAAAAATACAGAGACAGACTGTATACCACTTCCTCAAATAAATAGGGGTGCGTGTAATGTTGTAAAAATGAACAAGAGACAAGAATATGGGTATCAATGTTACAGAAATGCACTTTTACTAAGCTCTCATCAGGAAAAGGATCTGGGGATACAAAAAAACACCCGAGATAGGGAGGTCAAAACGGAGCACAATTCACTCTTCAAACCACACGGGCAAAACTGGGGAGAACACCTTCAGTACACCCCTTGATTTTCTCACTCCCTACCCACCCTTAGGAGAAAACACCAATCCCGGGTAGTAATCTTACATCCACCAAGCCACCCACGACGAGAGAAAGGCATTTGGGAAAACCACCAAGAGGGATACCCCTTTTGGGTGCCACCTCGCAGAAAACCAACGCGTTTCCCGATATACACCGTCACCTTTTAAGGACACAATTCCCCCCAGAAATCGGAGGACCAACAAATCCCTAGAAGATCAAAGGTAAACACCATCACCACCATTGGTCTAAACAAAATGGGGTGGACCACAATTCTGTTTCTTCAACCTAGGAGCTATAATTTCAAAGGAAAATCCCCAAAGGCAGAAGGTAGGAAGGAAAAAGAGGAGAAAAGAGATGGGGGTGAAGAAATTAGATGAGGTAGAAGAGGGGGGGGGTAATTTGGTTTGGTCCGAGGATATAGACAAAAATGTCGAGTTCCTTAGATCAATAGCCTTTTCACAGCATCAAGGAACCCTCCCCCCCCACTTGAAGAGGCTCCACATCACAGAATTATGATACAAAAACATTCATGCAAGTTTTATAATATCACAGAACAACAATGGACTGTACACATGAGAAAAGCAGATAGAAGACCTAATGGTCTAAACTGAGGCTACCTGCTGAGGGCTAGCTAATTTCAGATTGGTTAGCCTTAGCTCTCCTGGAAGCACCATAATAGGAAGAACTGTTTTAGGTGAAGTTCCACTGAGCAGTTCGTAACAGTCCACTCCATGTTCTGGCATGCTTCACTACTTATAGACAAAAATGTATATTTATTGTACAGTGTCATGTTTTTTAAGTGAAGTGGCCAAACAGAATATTCACAAATTAGGTTTAATTTAATTAAAAATTTAATTTATGAATTAAAATGTACATTACACGATTTTTTTAGTTTGCACCAAAGCTTGGTATCCTAGTCACAAAAATATTTATTCAACTTAATACATTAGACTAATTTCAGTCAGCAATAATTATAAATACTGTATCAATTCTGAGATAGACAAACCTATTTTTGCAGTTATAGTAAAAATGAATACAACCTCTGCTTGGTTTGGAAAATAAAATTTGCTAAATAAGCCAAGTTAACAAATTCTGTATAAATAGCATATACAATATCTGATGATGTAGGAAGGAAACTAAACCAGTATGAAAAACACCACCATACCATACTAACTAGGTTATGGTTAGTTTACCAAATGTGAAGTGTAGCATCACACCTGAAAACACTGCAACCAAAACTTTTATATGGTAGTTCATAAATTCCAGATTAATGCATGAACACAATTCTTTCAAATCTCAAACTGGCTCCAGAGGACATTTCTTGTGTAAGTAAGGTGACCCCCAAAATAAATTTATTCACACACACTAGCACCCTATGTGTAAAGAGTACAGACACCAAGATAAAATAAAGCAGTGGTAGATTGTATGAGTGTATACTGTACACAAGAGACTTGGCCAACACTAATGAGTATAATATAAGCTTGCAACCAGTATGATTAGAAATATTCTGGGCCAAAATGAATAAAATAAATTGGGAGGAAGTGACCAGGAAGAGTATTTACATTAGAGCAAGATGATGCTTACGAAACAGATGTAACAAAGAATTTAATTAAACAACCATTCAGATTATTTTGCTACACAATTTCTATAATATCAAAGTCTGGATTTAGGTCAGAAGTAATATATACCAAGTGAAATTAAAGAAAAAATCAAATGGTTTAGTTGATTTATAACCTTGACTTAAATAACCTGGATGACACACTTCCAGTTACCATAGTAAAGTTATTTGAAGGGATTAAATCTGTTTCCATTACTGTACAAGAATTACTAGAAGCAAAAATTACAAAATAAATAAAATTAAATCAGGATACAGGAAAAGAAAATCAACAGAAAAGAAATTGAAAAAATGTAACATGATAAAGCAAACAAAAAATTTAGGGCTATGTATATGCAGCAAAGCCAATGTGAAGGATTTTACACAAAAGTTAGTAAGGCAAAGGGAAGAAGCACTATAGCTAGCAAGAAAGATTAATGTTCATTTTATTTAAAAGGTAAAAAAAAAAAAAAAAAAAAAAAAAAAAAGTACACAATATAAAAAAAAAACCTAATGAGAATTATACTACAGAAATGAGTAAAACCTTACAAGAGACTGTTAAACTGAATGACAGATGATGAAATTTCATGTGGATACCATGTAATAAAAGTAGAAGAAAAGAATAACAGACTAAATGAGAATTATAGATTGTGATAAAATATTTCAAGATCTGGACAAAAAGGCTTTAATAAACAATGAGAAAAAAAAGATTGCTACTGGAAGAGCACATCAATGCAACTGTGGAAACACACTTATGCTACTATGCAAAACTTCAAAACAAGCCTTCAGATATATGGATAAACAACTACTCGAACTTATATTAGCCCTAACTGGAACATGCAATAGTGGTGGTTATCTGCATTTAAAAAATGCAGATAAGAGAACAAACAAAGACATGTTCAAAATAGCTCTAAGAAAAATAAATTACTGAAAGAATAATGGACTTTCTACACAAATAGTATGAGAATGCTAAAATGGGACCATAAAGTTAGTAATAAGTGCTATAACCACTAGAAAATTAACAAAAGTTGTAAAAACTAAATCCTGAAGATGGGACACCACAAATAGCCCTGTTCATGTAACTAAAAACAGGTAATTTCTTATACACATTGTGCATGTACTGTACTTCACAACTTCAGAAAGTAACTCCATTTCAACTAATCAATTTTCCTGGCGTCTTCCAAGATATAACAGTACGTACTACTTAACTTGCTTTCCATTACTACCTTTCCTCTGGTTGAACACGAATATAGGCATGCTGTTTATCCAAGTCCCCTACTTAAATCCTCCATTCTACTTATACATCATACAGCTCCCCCCCATTACCTCTTATTTCCCTACCATATTTACACATTTATTGTCAACCTATCATGCTGCATTTTTTCTGCAACCCATCTTCCAAAAAAAAGTTGCAATTCTGACTGTTTATAAACTTTTCTCACAGAACTTTGTTATGTATTTACGGTATGTTTGGTTAGGTCAAGTATACACAATATATCCGAAAGCCAACAAACAAAACTGCAATGCAGAAAAAAAAAAAAGAGAACAGAAAACAGGAAATGACAAGGAATCTGTCTTTAATTTTGTTCGGTTGCATTACAATTTCCATTTTACAATTGCTGGCATGTTTTAACTGATTAATTTTTATTGTTCGACAATGAAAATAGTGGAATTTTCAATATTTATGTGAGAAACTTAATGGTTTGTAAGCATTCAGAATTTTTACTTGTGGAAGGTAACAGAGGCAATTAGAGGAATTAACTTTAAAATCTATACAAAAAACCTGACTGTTGGCAAACAGTCAAAACCATCTCAATGACTCCTTGTTGAATTACCTCATCTTCAAATCTTCTTAATTCCTTGTTCTCTGTATAATATTGACACCACAATTTAATGTCAGCCAAAGTCATATCCACTACCTCCAACCTCTTTGAAAATTTGAAAACAAAGATTCACCCCAGTACTAAAGCCAGCACCCCTTCACTAATTTACTGTATATATCTCTTTTTTTTTTTTGTTGGCAGCAACCATCAATATCTACCTTTTTTTCACTTAATACTATTTACATCTGCAATTCTTATTCCTTCATTGTGGTAATTATTCTTGGTAGTATGTATAACGTTCATCTCAAAGGCATTTTAAATACATTCACATCCTTTAATCTTACTTTCATTCTTTTCTCTTAGGACACAATTCCAAACTCTTACCAACCTCTGCAACTTCTCAGAACCTTCCAGACTTTGTTACCTGCAAACAGCAAACTCCCACGAACTCAGATTCCTTACACTTTCCTGATAACATGGTCCTCTGATGTCCATTTTAATACTTTTGACATCAACATTGTATGGCAGCCAAAATGCCAGACAAATTTTTATCCAAAATCCTATTCATGGTGGGATATTTCATCAAGTGCTTAGTATAATACAATATTATAAATGGAAAACTTTCATTTCAATGTACAATTCCACATAAACAAGGCTGTAAGAAAGAAAAACAAGTGATCCAATTCCAAATGACATTTACATGCAAGATTTTCCCCCAGTGACATAGTTCAATAATGAGTAACAATACAAACACTCCCTGTACAAATTTATATTCCAATACATACAATGCAAGAACCCATTCACTTGTGTCAGAGTGAGCAAAACCAATAACCATGAAGTTAATGCAACATGCACATCACATTGGCATGATACACAGAAAATGAGTTTCTGGGTATGGCTTTCCCAGGTGAGCTTAAGAACTATTAGAGAGACGTTACATCTGCATTAATCAACATGCATCCACTACTCCCTGCTTATAGTTCAAATTCTATTTCAGCCATATAATAAGTATTAAAGTTAAAAAGACTGGAACAAATCAGAAAAGAAATAAAATAATTCACAAATAACCTAATTAAAATGCAGTGGCATGCATTAAGCTGTTTACATACATTTAAGGCTTCAGTTTAATCTAAAGCAAGCTTTCATAAATGTATAAAAAATACATTACTTATGAAGTGTTACAGATTGGACTAGGTTATTTTTATATGTATTAAAAGATTTAAAAATGGAAGCTTTGTCAATGATTTGGATAAATTTCTATAAATGTGGACATAATTTGAGTGCTGTTTCTCCCACTAAGTTGCTCATTTGTTAATCTACACAAGATAACTTGTTAAGCTCAAGATATATTTTTCATCAGTGAAAGTTGCTACTTAACCCTTAAACTGTCCAAACATAGATCTATGTTCACGTGCATAGCACTCTGAACTTGCTATTGTACATGCTTTATATAAAAAAAAATGTAGATCTATGTTTGGAGTGCTACACACAAACGTAGAGCTACGTCTGGACAGTTTAAGGGGTAATGCTGCTGCTGTTCCACCTATTTCCACTAATCATTACTAATTCTTACTGAATAAGATAACTATTTTTTTGTCCAACAATTACAATAAAATAATTGACAAACTTGTAATTTTTTTTATAAGGCATTATGCATATGCTTACCCTGGTAAGGAACAGTGAAGGTTTTAAGTGGCCTCAACAAATATCTCAGTCATTGGCATGGTAAAGTATTTGCACAAAAGGCTTGAGAAAAGAATTATCTTTAAGTTTAAAAGTAATGATAATCTTATGAAAACACATTTCCAAAAAGATATTATACTGACCTTGTCTTAAATATGGTAACATGTAAATTGGCATATTAGAAAGAAAATACTGAATGCCATGGTCAGCATCATAAGAACAATTAAATCTGGAGAGCAGGTGTAAGAAGAGAGAGATTACTGTGGTTAGTAGGTCTATGCTGGGTTAAGGGCTGAGAAGGTAAAAGGGTAAGTACAGGTGTGCCTGGTGAACAATCAGTTGGTGGCGAGACATCAGTAATATTATAAATATTGGGATTTTCATGTTCACGCAGGAGCTGATCGGCATATTCAGTAGTAGTGTCTGAAATAGCTGACCCACGAGGCCTTACCTCCTCGACTTTAACCTTAGAATTAGGAGCTAAGAGCTCTGAACTTTTCTGTGAATATTCTTGTGGCATATTAACATAAACATTTTGCCCTCCTTGCTGCTCATCCCCATCAACTATCCCAGTTACTGAAACTATGCTGTTACCTACATCCACATGGTCAATAATCTCAACATTTCCTAAAAATAATTCATTTTTCATTGTGACTAATGGTTCTACTTCTTTACTAACTATTGGGTAGTCAAGCTGATTTTTAATATCTGACACAATTTCTTTCTCTAATAGTATCCTTTCCTTACTATTTACACAGGCAGCTGACAACCTATTGGTGCCTTTCATAATCTGTGAAGACCAAGGTAACAAATTCTGATTATTCAAGATATTTTGAGACTCTGTTATGCAAGGCACAGAAGTAATGACTATAGGTGTTGAGGGATTAGAGTTCACTGAAGTTCCTAAGTGTTCCCCGCAGCTTACACTCACAAGACTACCATTCTTAACAATATGATTGTTAAGCACAACATTGTTCACAACCTGTTTGTTTACAACTACCTTATTATCAGAATAAGGTATACTTTTACCACTCATGGTTCTTGCTGAAGCATTAGTAGTAATTCCTGCATTATGAATACTACCTACAGTCTGAAGCTTCATACCATCCCTAGCTGCTCCTCTAATTATCAACTTAGCAGAATTGTTAACTGAGGTAGTGAAAGAGTTAGAAGAAATAACAGACTGAACTGCAGTACTAGTCACAGTAGTAATTGGCACAGTTGTTCCTTTACTAATGAAGTTATTTGCACTAGATATAGTGCACGTCTGAGAGGGCAGGTGATTATTTCTAATTACCACTGAAGAACTAGTGCGATAAACCTTAGCCAACCGTCCATCTCGACCCTGAACATACTCAACAACATACACTCCCTGACCATCATTTAAAGCAATGTTGGTATCAGGACCAGTAGTTGAAGTAACTGCCATGCCATCTGAATTAATGCTGCCAACAGGTTCCAACATATTATATCCTGATCTTCCATAACACTTAAGGGGTTTTTTGACTGTAAACCAGTCATTTTTACCTGATCCAGAATGCTGTATGCCCACAGGTGACATCATTGGTTCGTCGCTAGGACTTTCCACACCAGCACAAATTGTTATTACTTCCTCTGGGGCTATGTGGTCTCCCACAAATTCCATTGAATCTTCAACCATTTGGGGTGATGCTTCTGTCACCTGGCCATTAATATTATCTTTGGTATCTGTCACACTACCACCTATGATACTGTTGTCTTGCATACCAACAGGATCAGTAGCCTTTTCTAAACTTTTAAGGTCAATATTAAGGGTATTCCACGATGATCTTATATTAACCTTGGGCAATGAGTTATGATCTGAAGGTGGCTGGAAGACATAGGTGCGCAAGTCATCTAGAGCAACTTCCTCCGTTACAACCTCTTCCTCAACTCTCTCTTCCAAAAATATGTCATCCATCTTTTCATGAGAGATGACAGGTAATGGATTTTCCCAGTTATTTACCCCTACATGATTAGACCTAACAGGATTCTTGGATGAACTTAATTTCTTGGGCCCAACAAGCAGACCCGTTTTGCCATTGGTTATCTGCTGAACCCCCAATGCATGTACTAGAGTACTAGATGACATCTGACAACTTCCAACATTTACATTATCACCTGAATGAAGTGACTCCACAGTATGACAGCTATCTTCATCCTCCTCCTCCTCATCTTCCTCCTCCTCCTCCTCCTCTTCTTCTTCATCATCGTCATCCTCCTCCTCCTCCTCCTCTTCCTCACGATCACCCTCTTCAAAGTCAGTCCATATTTGCTCCTCTTCCATCTGCGCAGCAGCTTCAGGACTAATAATCTTTAGAGGCTGACGAGGTCTGCGAGGCTTACGTCCTTGTGTCTTCTTCATGCGGTCAGCTTCCTCTTGTGAAAGTATTATGATAGCTCCCTGGGTGGTTAATAGCTTCCCATGCCGTGTTCTCAGATGTCGTTTGTACGTATTCCGTGTTTTAAACCTGTAAAAAATATATTAATGATTAAATAGAATTAGTATATTAGTACCTTGCTGAGATTAAACTCGGAAGTATTATTTACAATACCACAATACATATTTATCTGACTATAATGATCTTACACATAATCGGGTGTTGAACAAACGCAGCCACGCCAATTTTCACATTCCATGCTATTTCTTTCGCACGCGCCAATTTTCCCCACTTCCTGTTGTTTATGTACATCTAACAAAGACCCTCACCTTGTAGTTGGTCTCGGTCAGACATGCGTTCATTTGCTGTGAACTCCTCGTGTTGTACTCCGTGTGTTTTTTTAATTCATTTTGTTTTCTTGGTTGTTTATGGTACGTTTTTTCTCTTATTTAAGGTTTTTTCTCCATTAAATTGTGCATTATTTTGTATATTTAAGGATTTTTCAAACTGATTATTTTTTCTGTGCTTAAAACTCTTAACGGTTCGTAGGGGTCTAGAACGGACTTGTGCAATATTAGTTTTCTCTGTGTTATTTAAGATTTTTACAATTAGTTTACTATTACACTGTGCATTCTATGGTATAATTAAAAATTTTTGGGCTAAAAAAAAATTACATACAGTTCGTAGGGGTCTGGAGTGGATTAATCATATTTACATACAATCCAATGGGGAAATTAGGTTCGGGTCATGACCAAATCAGGTTGTGACCAGAGTTTTGGAACGAATTATGGTTGTGACCAGAGGCTCCACTGTATATGCATATATTTTTTTTTAACACATCAGCCATTTCCCACCAAGGTAGGGTTACCCAAAACAAAAACCCAAAAAGAAAGAAAAAACTTTCATTATCATTCAACACTTTCACCATCACTCATACATAATCACTGTCTTTGCAGAGGCACTCAGATACAGCAGTTTAGATGTCCCTCCAAACTGCCAATATTCTAAACCCTTCCTTTAGAGTTCAGGCATTGTACTTCCCATTTCCAAGACTCCAGTCTAGCTAACTGCTTTCCCTGAATTCCTTTACAAAATATTTCCCTGCTCACACTCCAACAGCTCGTTAAGTCCCAAAAACCATTTGGCCCCGTTCACTCCTATCTAATACGCTCAATTCTGATAGAAGTTTGCATTAACATTTTATGTACTTAGTGCAATTTAAACTCCACAAAAGTTTATAAAGTTTTTCTTCTTATTTTAACCCTTTGACTGTCGCGGCCGTATATATACGTCTTACGTCCTGGTGTCGCAAAATTTCAAAAAAAAAAAAAAAAAAAAAAAAAAAAAAAAAAAAAAAAAAAAAAAAAAAAAAAAAAAAAAAAATTCTTATGAAATGATAGAGAATCTTTTCCCGATTGTAATGACACCAAAAGAAACGAAATTTGATGGAAAACTGACGGAATTATGCTCCCTATTTTTGGCTAATTCCATTGTTCCAGTCGCCCAAACTCATAGCTATTTCTTTAGAACTCCATTTTTTCTATCGATTAAGTACAAGAAACTGCCCATTTACCGATTTCAACTACCTAATAATGTGGTCAGAAATTTGCAATTTGGCCAATTTCACGAAAACTAAAAAATATGACAATTTCAAAATAAGATCCAGAATGAACAATGCAGACATTCCTGGCTCTAAAATAACATTTTCTTTGTTCATCAGTCATGTCTCCAGGCCCCTCTGATATTACTCTTGCTTTCTATTTTGAATTTTTATTCAAACAAAAAATTGAAGACTTACTATTATGCAGACTACTGCAATACTGTAATAATTGTATAAATAACATCAACCCATTCATGACTGCATATTAGAATGGCTAGTTGGACATTTACTGGAAAATGGCATCATTTGCTTACTTTTGAACATTGGCAAAAATCAAACATTTCCCCTACTTTGAGCTCCATTTCTAGGTTCTTTTTATAGTAAAATCAATCAAAATCATCTCTATTTCTATAATATGTCTTCCATTCTATCAAATGAGACCAACAAAACGAGAATACAACCATAAATACTATACGAAAATAGACCACAAAGTCGGCATTTTAATTAAAAAAAACGGTCGGAGTTTTTTTTTCTCATTATGCACTGCGTGCTCCAGGATTTTTTTTATATGGTGCACACTGACCACACAGACCCATTCTCTCACATGTAGGCCTACCAACTTTCTCCTGCTTGATTTGAAGCCGCTAGAATTTATGAGTATATATCCCTTTCAGGGTCCGTCCCGTAGATCTACGGCTTTATGGTGAGTGTCCAAACCGTAGATCAACGCCATGAGCTCAGCTCACTCTGATAAACTGTGAGTGGTACATTTGGGCCTAGATATGAGAGAATACATCTATGTGGTATGTGTGCACCACATAAAACAGATCCTGCAGCACGCTGTGTATAATGAGAGAAAAAAACTGAAATCATGATTTTTCGATTAAAACAGCAACTTTGCAGTGTTTTTTCGTATGTTTTTTATAGGTGTATTTGCGATTTCTTGGTCTCATTTGATAGAATGGAAGACATATTACAGAAATAGAAATGATTTTGATTGGTTTTAGCACTGGAAATGGCTTGAAACTGAGCTCAAAGTAGCGGAAATGTTAAATTTTTGCCGATATTCAAGAGTAAACAAACGACCTCACACGTCTAATACACGTCAGCTGGTGGGTCTAATATACATTCACAAATATGGTGATGATATTTATACAATTATTACAGTATTGCATAACAGTAAATCTTCTATTTTTTGGTGTGAATAAAAATTCATTATGTGAATAAAAAATCAAAATGGACTTAATTGTAAAGCCTCAAAACATAACTAATGAACAGAGGAAATGTTAGTTTAGTGCCAGGAATGCCTACATTGTTTATTCTGGACCCTATTTTGAAATTGGAATATTTTGAACTTTGTGTTAAATTGGCCAAATTAACAATTTCCGATCACTTTATTTTGTAGTTGAAACAGTTGACTTGGCGATTTCTTGTGCTCAATCGATAGAATAGAAGTAATACTAGTGAAATAGCTAAGAATTTGGTTGATTGGAATAATGTAATTGGCCTAAAATGGGAGTCAAAGTCAGCAAAATCGCCGATTCGTAAATATCGCTGACACATCAAAATTCGCGAGAGCATAATTTCGTCAATTTTCCACCAAATTTCGTACTTTTTGTTTTATTACCTTCACAAAAAGATTCTCTACGATTCATATAAGAAAAAATAACAAATTTTTTTTTTGAAAATTCTTGGACACTGGTGCGTGACTCCAGATTTGGGCCTTGGACCCTGAAAGGGATATACGTCAAACACGGTACCTCGTAAGACGTATATATACGGCCGCGACAGTCAAAGGGTTAAGCTTACACAGAAGAGTTTCCCCAATGGAAGTAAGTCACTCTGTCTGACTTTTTTGGGTTATCCTAGGTTCTCTACACATATGCTTGTATGTATGATAATCTAACTGTATTTGTGTGTACCTGAATAAACTTACTAGCCAGACTCGAGTCCTGGAGGAGGGAAATACAGTGCCTGCATTCTGAAGGTGGGGCGAGGATACTTGCAGCTGGAGGGCATCTGAACTGTAGTATCAGTTCACCTCTGGCATGACAGTGAGAGTAAACGATGTTGAAAGTGTTTCTTATTTTTTGGGTCTCTACCTTCATACCTTCATGGGGCATGGCCGGTTTAAAAAAAAATAATCAGCTCTCTTTATAGATATACTGCAATGTATTCAATTTTTGATGCTCTACAATCTTGTGAGTTTGATGTGTTTTAATACTACCAATATAAGCTTTTTTTTTGTTAATGTCTCCTGCTGAGGCAGGGTGACCAATAAAAGAAGAAATACTTTCACTATCATTCATTCTATCCGTCTTGCCAGAGGCATGCACATGCTAGTTTAGATGCCCCTCCAAACTGCAAATATCCCCACCCTTCCTTCAAAGTGCAGACAGTACTTCTCACCTCCCAGACTCAAGTCAGGCTAACTGGTTTCCCTGAATCCCTTCACAAATGTTACCTGGCTCACACTCCAGCAGAGAGTCAAGTCCCTAAAACCATTTGCCTCCATTCACTAACACATTGGATGTCCAAACCCCTTGCACATACAACCTCCTTTACCCCCTCCCTCCAACCTTTCCTAGGGTGACCCCTACCTTGCCTTCCCTCCACTATAGATTTATAAACTCTACAAGTCGTCCTATTTTATGCCTTCCACTCTAAATATCCAAAATACCTCGACAATCCCTTCTCAGTCCTCTGGATAATTTTAGTAACTCTGTACCTCCTCCTAATCTCCAAACTAGGAATTCTCTGCATAATATTTACACCACACATTGCCCTCTGACACAACATCTTCACTGCCTCCAACCTCCTTGCTGCAACATTCACACCCCATGTTTCACAACCATGCAAGTGTCAGTACCACTAAACAGGAGGGCTTCACTTTACAGCATTTCCCTCTATGGCATTTCACATACCTTTTCTTCATCTACTCAGATTTCCTACTATAAATATATTCACCACTCACTAGGAGAAAAATATTTTAAGGTAAGTAATGTGTGTAGTGTTCATGCATTTTTTAAGCCTGGTTCTATTGCTCACTTAAATAGTGGTACCTCGAGTTTTGAACTGCTCCCAACTCGAACAATTATGTAAGTGTATTTGTGTAAGTGCGTTTGTAAGTGTATTTTTGGGAGTCTGAAACGGACTAATCTAATTTACATTAGTCCTTATGGGAACGAACTCGTTTGGTATTAGCACTTGAACAGCATTCTGGAATGAAATAAGTTCAAAACTCGGGGTACCACTGTAAATATATGATAGTGTAAATATGTTACCAGGCTTTTATATGCGTTAGAAACTGAAAAAGCCTATACAGCCTCTCCTCACTTAACAACGGAGTTCCATTCCTAAGACCATGTCAGTAAACAAATTTGTCACCAAGTGAGGAGCATAGTATAATACAGGTCTCCTTCAACATTCGCGTTTTCAACTTTTAGGGGCTTCACACATTCGCGAATTCCCAACCGCTAAATTCCCAGCC